GCGCCCTCTTAAAGAGACTGTCGCCCACCCAGGAGACACAACCAGGTCGCACATGCACCTAGTACAAAACGCGACTATAATCAACCTGCTACTACTGCTACTACTACTGTCAAAAAGGACAATAGCAAGATGTTTTCAGTTAAGTCCGCACGAATCACAATTTCAATCCGGTTTTCATACTAAAATTAGAAAAACATAATTTTAACATGTTTGCAGTCCCTAAGAATGTTCAAACTATTTGTGATCAGTTTTTATTACAATTGTTGTAGGAATCAAATCTCCGAAATGTTTATTTTTGAAGGATTAAAACAAAAGCAAAGAGAAAACACATAACAATATACTCTCACGACTCAAAAGCACATCATAATGGTCATCCGATTTGGATGCGTACACGTACGAATATGCATGTATTTTGTTTTGGGGGATGGGGCACAATAGTGTGTGGACGGATGGAACAGAAACATTGAGCATTATCAGGTGATGTAAAGAAACCCTTGGTGGAAATAAGTATTGCAACTGTGGGGAAGTAAGCTGGTATGTCTCTCCCACCATGGGACGTGGTGATGCTAGATGCCGACTTTTCTTCACCTCCACATGCTTCAAAAACCGTATCTAGATATATGTATGCATACATGCATATGTGTATATGCGATTGAGTGTTAACAGGTAAAATATTTAAATGGTATATATTTGAATAGTCTCAGAGAGAGAGAGAGAGAGAGAGAGAGAGAGAGAGAGAGAGAGAGAGAGAGAGAGAGAGAGAGAGAGAGAGAGAGAGAGAGAGAACATACACACTCATTGAATATAAACCTAATACATTTAGACGCATTATCCTTTCTTCATACAAGTAGATAGAAGAAAACTACAAAAATATGACAAGATTTACCCAAAACTCTAAACTTCAGAACAAAAATGTTAAGACAAACGAACTTGCCCAACATGAAGCTATTACTAATGGCAGAGAGAAGTACGACTGTTGAAACATAATTTGACCAAAAAAAAAATCATGAAACAAATACCAACTAGATAATCTCATTGCCAATTCTTTTTTTAACATTCTTTAGTTAATTTGTGTAGGAACAATACTCTGTATATCAAAATTTATGAGCAACAGGGAATAATAACCACAAAAGCCTTTGGTATTTGATAAAACGATGTATCTTAAAGTACAAGACAGTTCAATATATTCGGACGGAGCTGTGAGGTGTCCATAAATAAAGGGTCTTCTATAAAGGTATTGTATAAGCTAATGCAAACGTATTGCATGAGCTAACCTGTCACAACATTTACTAAAACAACGACAATAGGATGGATGTCTCCAAAATGTAGGACAGTTATCCATAAGAGATAAAGTGCTAAAACGTACAACTATCCAGGAGGCCTCCACTAACGTCTATAGATCGCATATAAGGTGTGTACTGTATGGTCCAATGGTAGATCATAGGAGTGGCCACAAGAACTTTCGCACTTTCTATTTACAGAAAGCATGTGATGTGTGTATTGTATAGATCGGACGCAGATAGTTTGAGTGTTTCTATTAAGGACATGGAAAAGCCCCAAAGCAGCTTAGTAACCAACGTCATAATCTAAGCACAGCGCAAATATTCTAATTTTGAATGGGGTACAAAACTGTACCATTGCAATCTAATATCTCTCTCTCTCTCTCTCTCTCTCTCTCTCTCTCTCTCTCTCTCTCTCTCTCTCTCTCTCTCTCTCTCTCTCTCTCTCTCTCTCTCTCTCTCTCTCTCTCTCTCTCTCTCTCTCTCTCTCTCTCTCTCTCTCTCTCTCTCTCTCTTGTATAAACCGGACTCTTTATACCTGCTAATTATGTAAAATTAAGTCACTTGTGAATATTCAACAGAGCTGCACATTTGCTTCGTTTCTCATGTATTATTCCTATCGTAACCTTAGCCATTAATTTTAAACCGACTTCCAACACAGATCATGTTACAGATGTTTACAAATCAATACAATAATAGACAATTATTTGCTTTCTCTATTAGGAATAAGGAAGATGAGTTATTTTGTATGGAACACTTTCACCAGCACCCATGCACCAATGGATGCATGGAGTTGCAGGAGAACAATCTTACCTGAACACACGCAAATAAATATTCCTTATCACACGCACGTATGGAGAGACATGATCAAGAACTCTCCAGTTATTAAAATGCAAGTGAACAATAATGTGTACACCGCCAGTATTTGAGGTAGTCCGATAAATCAGTTCCAAAATCTGTGTTGATACTGATGGGCGATATGTTGCTCTGCTGTCGCCTGTTCATTAAAATGTGCAATTTTACTGTACACAAATATTTCCGGAATAAACATGTGTACACTTTAGACAGATACCGGTAATTGGTAACAGCAAATCTAGCGCGAAATTCAAAATGGCCACGGGAAAGAGGGTTGTGCTATTACACGTGGATTCACAAGTCATCAATCAATATATTTGCTCTTGAAATATAATGAACATGTCACCAAAAGAACCCGTCAGATTCACAGCCGCGAAAAGCATCAGTAAGTGTATAGAATGTACATTATTGTGTGCAGCCAAAATATTCTGCATACTTTTGCTGGAAATAAATGAATAGGTATTATCTCCCTTGAAACCCGCCAATCGATATTATCACGGGTGAGGGGCTGATTAATTGACCAAACATATAGCATACGGCAATATTCCGTAGATACGCAATGCTAAATGCAATCATAATATTAAAACTCTGGCAGGCGACTTGAAATCATTTGCACAGCTAATAAGCACCAAGTACTCAAGACTGACTTTCGAGGTGTGGTGTTTATAATTTGTAACGTAGCTTTAACAATTTTTCAGTTATATCGCTACGATGTCTGCATAGTAGCATTTTTTTAGTGATGTCTAGAACTGGGACATCATGCTGCAGACATGTAGCATGATGACCCACCCAGTCACATTATCCTGACACCAGGCCGACCAGTCCTAATTTTAACCTTTTAATGCTGAGCGTCAAGCGAGGCAACTGTTAGTACCATTTTTGTACGTCTTTGGTATGACTCGACCGAGGATCGAACCCACGACATCCCGCATCCGAGGCGGACGCTCTAATCACTAGGCCACCGGAGCGGACTTGCGATATGAGTAAGGATATTTTTATAGCTGTTTATGTAGACATTGATTAGTAGAAGTGAAAAACTAATATTTGTTTTCATAAGTGTAATCATTATAAATAAAAAGCAATTTAATTCAGTTTTTCTTTTAAAGATTGGCCATCAGATATCGTTATTGCTAGAAATGCAAAATACGTGGCTTATGCTGTGCAAATTTATCTTGATCAACAGCTGGTGCCTGGGCGCGAGGACTGTATTATGTATCGTTTGTTTGAAATAAATCGCTCTTAGCTGTATTTAAAGCTGCCTATATATTTTATAACATAACATTGAATAGATTTTGCATTTCCAATGTAAACCACATTGTAAGTGCATCATTGACCTTACCATACAGAGGAAATGGAAGCAAACAGCCTTAAGCAATGACACAGAGAGGCACAGGCGATAGGTGGAATTTGTCTTTGAGCTTTTGGAATATCGCTTTGAAGATTGAATAATTCATAAGTGCCAGACAAATTCTAACGGTCTTTAGAACATGAGTACCAAGTGTTGCATATGTCAGGATGGGGAACTTAATCAGTAACCATAAAAGTTTAAATGGCGCGTGATTAAAAAATGTCTTGCTTGCTCCCATTGAAATATAACATGACTGGCCTTGCAGTCAATGGAGTATAGATTGAGTTGCAGCTGATACATACAGTACGACTGGCCTTGGCTTAATTTGCAGCTGATGCATACAGTACGACTGACCTTGGCTTAATTTGCAACCGATGTAGTACGACTGGCCTTTTAAGCTGATTTAGTATTTCTGGTCTTGGTGCCAATGGGTTATAACTGACATTGGTGCCAAACGAGTAGGACCGGATCTGTAGTGGATGTAGTATGACTCGCCTTGGTGCCAATGGAGTATGACAGATCTGTAGCGGATGAAGAATGACTGGCCTTGGTTCCAGTGGATCTGATGTAGTATTATTGACTTTTTCAGCCGGTGTATTATGACTGGCCTTGGTGCTAATGGAGTTTGACTGGATTTGGAACCGATTTAGCGTGACTTGCTTTGGAGCCAATGTACATTACATAATATTTTATGGTGGATGGATTGTATCCACTTTAGGTTAACTATGCGCAATGATTTTTTCACAGGATACGTGAGTTTTATTTTTATCTTCTATACAGATAAACGAGCAGAAAATGCCATCAGTGCGGATTTTTACATTTCTTTTCCAAATGTCTCTTGTATTTGCCAATGTTGCGATATGGATAAATGATTTATTAAAAATTGCAATAAAATGAAAGATATCTCGATTGATGTGTTACATCTACAGATTTCTTTGACATTTAATTTTTTTAGTTTAATGTTCATTAAGGTGGTAAAATTTATGTCAAAAATAATATTTTTCTTGAATAATACAGTCATCAACATCGATTCGTAAGGATTCAGTAGTTGCTATAATTAGCCTTTCAAAACAACTTAATATTTGAGGCTTCGTCATCATCTCTGGACGACATCAGCACATACACAGAACACGGTTCCCCTACAAGACCAAGTGTCTGATGGGGTAATTCTGGGGTCAGAACAAAGCACTAGAAAACATCCATGTAGGCCCATGCTAGATTCATATGCTGATCTCAGTCCGATGCATGGTGCAAGCCGATTCGTGTAAGTTTGCGCTGGACGAGACGGCGTCCAGAACGAGCGTCGCTTTAAGCAACCTCCACCCAATCGGAAAAAAGGATCGCAAGGTCAGAAATGACATCCTCTCCAGTGAATCATGCCGAAACACATGTTCATTGATGTCCCAGCCAGTCACATTATCCTGACACCAGGCCTACCGGTCCTAACTCTAACCTCTTAACGCTGACAGCCAAGCACGGCAGTCGTAAAAACATCCCATCTTTATAAGTTTTTAGTATGATTCGACCGGGGTTCAAACCTCTGACCTTGCGCTTCCGAGGCGGACGCTCTAACCCCTTGGCCACCAAAGCGATCTGACGGTATATTACGAAATTTAAATTCTTGCATGTGTACTTTTTACAACATTAGTACATCAGTTAGTAGCACGTGGTATCACTAATTAATACAATAACCATCTCTAATAGCCTTCCATTTTGAGAATAATCTGGTATGTATGGAAATGTTACATTTTTATTTTAGTCAAATCTACTTTTTCATTTATGATAAAATTTGAATGCTTTTATTCGGACAACGAGGAACTTTTTTACATCCATTTATGATACTTTTTATTCAAGGTTGTTTATAAATATTTTTCTACTCAAAAGAATTGTAGTACGCCTTTCAGAGGTGAAGATAGGAGCGATTTATTACAACTCACATTGCAGCATTGATAATAGCTTTGCAGATTTTGCTTTTCATTCTTTTCTGTTTGACTCGATGTTTTTCTTGTATTCAATCACTGCACGAAAACGTGCATTGTCTATTTCCCTTGATATATCATTTAAATAACAATATTACAATACATTAACCTGGGAAAAGAAATACCTTAATGACTTTATCAATTGAGCATGGAAATGGAGCTCTGGAGATTCAATACCCCAATACATGTTTTTTTTTTTCTTTTTTTTTTCTATACACAATTTACACTATAGTTAACCGTATACGGCACATCAGTGCATTTGAATAGGATATATCGTAAGACAGTGGTACAAATCTCTATTGGCTCTAGTCATGCTGTATTTCAATTTTCATAATAAAAGAATTAATCTTTTAATCTTCAAACTTCTTTTGTGAAACTTTTTCTAAAGAACACATGAAATCATTGCAATCCTTGGGTTAACAATATTTACCAGGTTTTCTTTTTCTTTGTAATCCTTGGGTTAACATTATTTACCAGGTGTATATATATATATATATATATATATATATATATATATATATATATATATATATATATATATATATATATATATATATATATATATATATATATATATATATATATGTAAGTACCCTGTCTGCAAGGTAGGACTAAGGGTACTAATATTTGTACTATGTATTGACCGAGGGAATGAACTCCTCACACCCCTGCCGAGTATGTCTACGACAAAATGTAGTTCTGTGCCTTTTGTGACTATTCACAATCATCTTTGTATATTGATAAGTTGATTGTCTTTTTTGAGTTTATATTTATCTTCTTTGTATATTGATAAGTTGATTGTCTTTTTTGAGTTTATATTTATCTTCACATTGATTAAATCAATGTATTACACACTTATGATTTAAACATGAAATATTGTTTTAATGAAAAAAGGAGAGCATTACAAACATATGGTTAGCTACGACATTCACATGAGCGCTCAGCCATTGACATACCGTAGTATGAAAATTAATGTGGAATATAAACTAAGCGAAATGACAAACAAACAAGAGGTAATTAAAGTATTTTAATATATTTACAGTTGATCTCAATCATTACTTTGCTATAATAACAGTAACATAGACCATAAAACTCTCTCTCTCTCTCTCTCTCTCTCTCTCTCTCTCTCTCTCTCTCTCTCTCTCTCTCTCTCTTCCTTTGGTCCATCGTTCGTACGTCCATCGTGGGATGATACAAGCGAATATCCTCTACGAGAGAGAGAGAGAGAGAGAGAGAGAGAGAGAGAGAGAGAGAGAGAGAGAGAGAGAGAGAGAGAGAGAGAGAGAGAGAGAGAGAGAGAGAGAGAGAGAGAGAGCAGCCTTCGGACATTTTTTTCATATTTAATTATTAACAATGGATCTTTATAATATTATTAAGGAACAACAACAAAACATTAAATACATCACAGTGTGTGTACCTCGTAATCGAGAAATTTGACCTATAATGTCGACAGGGTTTGCAATTTTGTGTCATTCATAGGTTTAAGGAACAACAGAAACAACAACAAAGCATTAAATACAACACAGAATGTGTACGTCGTAACCAAGAAATTAGCCCTATAGTGTCGTCTAGCTAGGTTTGCAATTTTGTATCATTCATTATGCAAATAATGTAGGTATATCCCAAGGAAAGGGCACATATACAGTTATGAAGAACCATATTCTCATTGGTTACTTGGTGCAAGTTCGATTTCAATGTTTTCATCCAAAGCAAATTATTTTTTTATCTTTCGCTGCAGTTTGCTGCGCAGCTTATCTGTTATGCGGGGTCAGGGACAGAGAGCAGAAAGGATTGCGATGAAATTGTGTTTCATATTTTATTCATTTAAAAAAGGACGATTATTATTCGTTTTAATGATTATTTTCATAAATCAATAATAATTGCTGTTTGGAAATTCGTAACTGATCTATAATCAAACAGCACAGAGTTGTGAGAATGTTTACATATGCGTATCATTACGCCATGGACGGATCATAAATTGATATACCATTAGTATTGGTATATTAATTTGCTTTATACCAACACTTTAAAAATCATGTTATTTTTAATGTATGTGATATATATATATATATATATATATATATATATATATATATATATATATATATATATATATATATATATGTGTGTGTGTGTGTGTGTGTGTGTGTGTGTGTGTGTGTGTGTGTGTGTGTGTGAGGGGGTGAATTGTCTCGAAAAAAAGCAAGATGGCACAACTTGTCGAAGTATGTAGTTATACTGGTTGCCACATTTATGACCGAAACAGACACATATACATGTTGTACGGACAAGAAGAATATCTATCATCTTTGGTTATGCTGGTAATTTTTCACTGCAGTGGAATAAAGAAGTGTAAGACGATAGAAATCGTAGCCATAATGTAGACAAAAGAAGATGGTTCTAGTGATATTGTGATTGGCAGATGCGAAATCAAAAATATCAAAATTTATTATGAATCAATTTGAATGAAAAGGCTCTAAAATTATATATGTGGAAAAGTTTTAATAAAATTATAAGTCACAAATATTCATCTAGAAATACAAAAGATCACGTGTATATAGTCTAATACGGCAATGACACATCAGACAATACAAACAGGCTGATGGTAGCGTTGACGAAAAATTGGTAAATAATATTGATATGTAGTTTTTAAAAAAGTCATACAATAAATATAGTATCAAATAATATAGAAACATGGAACAAAACTGAATACATGTCAATACACATATTCATATAATAATTCTATAGGCGCCTTGCAGCATGGAAACATTTTAAAACAACTAAGGGTAAGTTTATAAGCATAGGAAATATATTTTGTATCAAAAAGATAGAAATGTTCCTACACCTAATGTAAGGGCATTAGAGTTTGTCCAGTAAACAGAAGTTCACAAATATTAATTTCATACATACTTTATAAGGTTTGAAAAGGAACACAATAATGTTTTAGAAATCTCATACATTCACGCTTGATGCACTGATAATGTTCTCCAGGACCGAAGCAGTGAACGATGATTTTCTAAATTCACTCTTAAGTTATATATGATAACATATCGAAATAAACCTGCTCTGGAAACAGATAATCAGCATGCCATTAGGAAATGATGAAACATTTAATTTACCTTTCCTCTCAAAAAGTTTATATCTTTTGTCGAGTGTTAAAATTTACAAACATGGAGGAATCAGTGTTGATACTCAAAGCAAGTTCAATGTATATCATTATTGTCTTTTTTTTTTATTAAAGACGCTATTGTGCATAATTAGTACAGCTGCCTTCATACAATACAGCAAGACAATGAGAACATAAAAGTGCATTATTCTTTTTCGTTATTTTCTTTCAGTCCATACAGATTTAATAGAGAAAAATGTCAAACAACCTGCAGGCCAACCCTCAGAGCAAGATAATGACACAAGATTACAAAAAGTCTGCTGTCATATATAGGCAGGAAACAAAGATCTCTTTTCAAACGTGTCATTGTTGATTATTTCTTGGCAAAAGCTGTGATGATGTCAACCGGAAATGGGAAAATTATAGTAGAATTATTCTCCGCAGCAATGGTGTTAAGCGTCTGAAGGTATCGGAGTTGAAGCGCTGAGGGCGACTCGGACATAATATCGGCAGCTTCCTTTAGGGCACGTGATGCTTTCATCTCTCCTTCTGCGGCAATCACCTACAATGTGTAATAAATACTTATATGATCATTATATACATTTCCCAAGGCAATCTTCATATTCGCGACTTTCCCAAAAATTATAGGACAGCATATTATAGATCAATTTAGCACAGAAAGCGACCTTTATTACACAGAAATGTTAAATTTAATAATATGCCTGGCATACAGGACCCCAAAAGAGTATTATTCAGCAGTTTTATAAATAAATAAATAATTTATTTTTATCCAATTTACGGCAAGTACAAAAAAACTAACTCTTAGAAGAGCAAAATTAAATTGCGTTTTGGGGCCAACAATTTAAATCGTACTGTTCTTCATATCACTATTTGATCAGTTTAGCTGATGCAACAAAAATTTGGCTCCATATATTCATAACAGCATTTTTTCCACAAATATTCAAAAATGATCTTGCTTTCACATCTCATATTATCAAACTTTAAGAAAAACAAGGATGGGAAAACGTCATCTTTGCTCCGTTAGCTCCTGTCTGGCGGAACCAATCAGACAATTTTCACCTAATCCAGTGTTCTACTAACCTTTTATGTACTAAATCAAAACTACAATAAATCTTAGCAATATATTAAATGAATTAGATTTGTTTCCATGTGTCACAGAATAAGGCAAGAATTAACTTGGTTTCGCCTAAGAACGATTTGATCATTTTCGTCGTACATACGTACAAAGTTACCCAGGGTGGATAATTTTTTTTCTACTTAGGCAACTGAACTAGCCTGTATCTCGTCCTATATCGCTTTCGGCGAAACAAAGAGTACGGTGTGCACGGGTATTTTACCCTTACTAATGTTCATTCTCCGATTCTCCGTTAGACTTAAGGCTACTTTCTTTTCTAATTTGGGATTTTGTCAATGAGTGTATGTTCTCCATGTTGTTCTGGAGCCAAAGCGGTAAGTGTTGAATTCTATTTTATTTGCAAATATGT